GTATTAGTTATTGTAAGACATGTAGAGATAATTTAAAGAATACAGGAGAATGTTTGTAGTGTTCTATGCATAGTACACTATCTTATTTAAGGAACTTGAATATCTTTGGATTTTGGTGTAGTAGGAGTCCTGGCACTGATCCCTGGGCAGATATCAAGGGACAACTGTATTCAACAAATGCCAGCATATATATTAGTGATTTTATTTGTGACAGATAAAGAACTAAGAGCAACATCACAGGAGAGATACTGCCTGAAATCCTGGTTTGTGAGTATTTGTACCAACTACTCCTGAATAAGAGGCTACAGGATAGTTATTTGGAGGGAGGGGGTATGCAATCCAGTTTATAAGACAGAATCAAGTCTCACAATAAATACGAAGTTAGTAATGGCTTCCCAGAAAGGGTTTAATATTTTTTTCCTTTGCTCAATGTTGTCTTTATTAGGTCTTCCTTCCCTTCTCAGTCTGCATGTTTGGCCTTCTGGTCCCAATGAGTGACATACTAATTTTAAGGTGAAATTTTTCATCTGGGCAAGTTAAGAGTACATTGGGAGAATGAACTTCTCACAGGAACTAGTACACAAAAGGCAACTGCAGGTCCAACTCTGTGAAAAGAGAAAGGAAGCAACACACTCCTTTCAATGAGTAGATGTCAGGGGACTGTAATCACAGATAGAAAGTGGGATTTGCCATGTCATTTCAGCTCCACTATCAGCAATCTTCAAGAAAAGCAAAATGGGAAGTATACCAAAGGGCTAGAGACTGATAATGTAGGAATTTTCCAAATGTGGAAACAATAAAAATATGCTGAACACTAGACTAAACATAACTCAATCTTTCTGTGATGATCTGGAGAGTGATTCAGAATTGTGCACCCCTTCAGGGTCATTGCACAAAATGAAGCTTACTTGTATTGTAAATGGGTGGATATTCCCACTAGCACAAGTAACTCAACATTTACCAGCTTCCTGGTTCACAGGACTTGATCAGTAATAATCACCTCCATTTACTGGGAACCTCTGTGCCAAGAGCCATTGATGATTTCCTGATATTTGCCTCTTTAATCCTTTCTGCCACCAGTGATGTTTGTACTATGAGGAAGACCACTGAAGCTCACATAGATAAATCACTTCACTACTACACAGGCAAAATGACAAGATGTGAGACTCCAACATGAGTGTGTCTAATTTAAAGGCAATTGCTTTTAACCACCACTCTATCCTGCCTAGTAATTTCCAGAAAGTGTTTCATGAGTAAAAACTAAGGAGAAGTCAATCCAGCAACAGAAAAAATAAACAATGGTGGGCACAATACACATGTTAGGCTTCTGTCTAACTCCTCACTCAGTTAACCTCTAAGGCAGCTCCCCATGTTATTTCTATGAGATAAATGCAGGTTCTTTGTGAAAGTGCCACAAGCTATTGTAAATGAAGGATCCAAAAATGTCACATGAGGTGGATTTGATTTGCTGAATGGGAGTCTACACCAGAGCTTGAACTTGGATATCTTTGGATTTTGGTGTAGTAGGAGTCCTGGCACTGATCCCTGGGCAGTGTTAATGTTGTCCTGATGATTTCCCATCCATATTACTAATACTCATCCTCTGAGACCAAAGTAGTATTTATATTCTGTTCATATAAACAATCCTAAAACCATCCTATGTTCTATTTTGAATTATTTTATCAGTCATGGGACCTGGCAAGAAGCAAACTGAACTCTCATTAGATAATTGAGAAAGTTTAATGAAGGGATTATTCATAAAGATTCAGGGAGGGTTAAATGAGACCAACAAGGTTGTTGTTAAGATACTAAAGTGCTGTCACTCAATATCCCAGAAGGAAAAAGAGCAGGGGACAGATTTCAGGACTTGGATAGGGTTGCTATAGGCAAGGCTACCTGATCTGACCAGGAACAGCAGGGAATGGATCTGTGAGTATATGTATTCTAGTTTCACCTCCTTGCAACCTTGAACCATGTCAGGATCTCCCAGTGCAAGTAACAGAAAAAGGAGCATGATACAGCTTCCGGGACACAGAGCAAGGGAGAAGAAGACTGAAGATGGACCTGCAGAGGATGAAGAGAACACACTTTTTTTATTTTAAAAGAATAAAGGCACAAGGAAAAAAAAATCTGAGTAATGAAATGAAGGAATCTATTTTTTAAACAAAACAAAAAAAAAATCAAAACCAAAACACTATTAAGTGGTCACAAACTAGCACCCAAGACCATAAAATTTAATGTATTATACAACTTACACACATTCAAACTTATTGCCATACTTAAACTTTGGGAGACTTTACATAGAAATCTGAATTTCCTGTTTTTCTTGAATAATTCAAAGATGCTATGACAATGGTCCTACAGCTGGAGTGAGGAGCTGCTGCGCCCTGAAGGGGAAACAGAGATGTTCAGGACACCTTGGTTCAGTCCTTCCACTTGACAGACATCAACTGTATGGCCCCAGTAGGAAAGCTTGACTCAAACCAACCAAAAGCAAATGATGCAACTGAACAGAAATATTAATTCTTAGCTTTCTGACCACCAAGGAAAAGAGGGAAACTGGATAGGGCTCTTTGCATGATAAAAGTGAGTGTAGTAACATTTTTTTCTAATTCTAATTTCTAAAAAGAGAGAAGACATCAATTTCTTTTCCTATGGCTTTTCTAGACAAGTGTTCTACTACTAAGCTATATCCTAGTGTTGTGGCCTCATCTCTACTTTCAGCCATAGCCATCAATTTGTTAAAACTGAACAAGGGGTAATGGGAGATGAAGAAAAGACAAACAGACACACATAGAGGAAAAAGAGCTGGGGCCAGGTGGGCAGTCAAACTCTATCAGAGCTAGCTTGGCACATTTATTATAAAGATTTTTGTCCCCAAAATGTTATTTGTGAGAAAATATCAGCAAAACAGGCAATCTGAAGAATTCAGGACTGGCAAGACATTAGGGTTATCTTGTTATGTTCAGAATTTTCTACCATGGAGACTCAGTGCCTGAGTTCAAGTTTCCAACTGATACAACTACATTCCTTTGCATGTAGGCCTCCTCTGCCTGGGCATCACCATAGCAACTGGGCCATCTTGACCTGCACCTTTGCACAGGAAATTCCCAGCACAAATGCACATCTACGAGGGAATCAGAAAACATGATTCAAATCTCCACTCTTCACATCTCAGTCCTTTTTATTTTTCATTTTGAGACAGAGTCTCACCAACTTATCCAGGCTTCATTGGAACTTGAGATCCTTCTACCTCAGCCTTCCAAGGAGATAAAATTATAGATGTCATGTGCCCAGCTTCTGAAACATTTTCATGCTTGCAAGATGTTGAGTCCAAATGAAAAAGATAGGGAATGGTGGCAGAAATTCAGAATGCTGACTTTTCTGCAACCAGGACTGTGGTACAGCTCAAAACTATTTTTCTTTTTTTTTCTTTATGCCTCAGTCTGGCTGGGCACAATTCATGAGTCACTTATCAAGCAGAAACGAACTTTATTTTTAGAACACACACACCGCACCACACAAGCTCTTCAGGAATTCCCCCAGAGTCCAACTGCCACCACCAGCTTCCCACGAGCCTCTCAATTCCCCACTCCTCCTGCTCTTGAGGCTGATTGACTGGGTCATATGGGTGGAGCCAAAAGAGTCGCCCAATGAGCAGCTCCAGGGTCTGAAAGGGTGGGGAAACAGCCCAATGAGCATCACCACACAGTAGCCAATCAGCTGGCAGCTGGAAGTTTGCTGGGGCCGCTGTGAGCCAATCAGCTGGAAGTTTGCTGGGGCCCCTTTGGCTGTGGCTCTCAACATCTCCCCCTCTCTGTTGAAACAACAAGCATGTGGCTTAGGAACCGTGCCTGCCTTAGGTTGTAAAATACTACATATGGTCCTTACCTGTCATCAGATGAGCTGACATGGAGGCGTCAGCCTCTTGTCTTAGGTTGGTACCATTGCAATTGGATCTTACCCATCATTGACTACAGGTCCAGCATACAGTCACACTTGTGGATAGGCCTTTGTATCAGCGGTGGGGGGGGTGTGAGGTTCTTTGCCTCACCTCTGTTGGCCCCCAAATTTTAGCTGAAGGACCATCACAAGCAGAAGGGAGGAGGATACACCAAGCCAATTGAAGGCTCCTTTTGGAAAAACTGTACCACCGATGACACCATCAGCAAAAATACCCAAACATTACCACAAGTCGCTGCACCAACAGATAGTTCATAATGCATACAAGTGATACATAGTCCAGGCAAGTTCTGCAAGCAGTTCAGTGATAGCTATTGCAAAAGCTGTAGATTAGTTTTATCTTTGTCCTCACCAGCACTGGGATGAAGATAGGAATTCTGGTAATAATGGCTAAAGAAAAAAAATATGTAACATTCCAGCAGGCACTAAAAGAAAACAATTTTCTGAACAATTTACATTATCCTGAACAGAATTATTAAATATAATGAAAAGAAAAGGTGAAAGTAAACAAACAGATCTGTTAACCTCCTTTTTTGTTCACATATTAAAACAATCCTCAACAGCCATTTACCCAATTTAAATTAAACCATTTAAATCATGTGAATAAGAAAAAAAAATATTTGGATCCATTTTTTCATGAGCGCTCATCATATATGATATATGGACATATGTACATTCAAACATACAACACAAAACACAAGTGTGCACACATAATATAATACATACAACACATAACATAATAGTAAAGGCCTTATAACTTTTTACAGGTGAAATCTCCATTGCAATGTTTAAAAACTCTATAGTCAAAAAATAGAACTGATCAGCAAAACATTAACCTAGGTCTGTATGAGCGCAAAAAAACAAAATAGGACTTCATGATGTGGGAAAGGGCAATAATAAAATAGATATTGAAAAAAGCATCCTGGTTCTGTTGCAGATGTAAGGATAGCCAAACTGGAGTTCTGGATATCAGCTGTTATGGATTTGAGCCATATCATCTTCTTTTTGGTCTGTAGAAATTGCTTTAGTTAATCTCTCTGGAATCCAAATTGGCTGCTGTTCTCCCTGTGGAAACACAAACAGACCCCTGACTCCAGACAATCACTGGGTCAGGACCGCAAACTTCCAGCTGATTGGCTCACCGTGGCCCCAGCAAACTTCCACCTACCAGCTGATTGGCTACTCTGCGGTGATGCTCATTGGGCTGTTTCCCCGCCCCTTCAGACCCTGGAGCTGCTCATTGGGGGACTCTTTTGGCTCCGCCGACATGACCCAGCCAATCGCCTCAAGAGCAGGAGGAGTGGGGGGTTGAGAGGCTCCTGGGAAGCCAGTGGTGGCAGTTGGGCTCTGAGGGAATTCCTGAAGAGCTCGTGTGGTGTGGCGTGAGTGTTCTAAAAATAAAGTTCGTTTCTACTTGATAAGTGGCTCGTGAATTGTGCCCAGCCAGACTGCGGCATTTGGTGGCCCGTACGGGGAAACAGCCCAATGAGCATCACCGCAGAGGAGCCAATCAGCTGGCAGCTGGAAGTTTGCTGGGGCCACAGTGAGCCAATCAGCTGGAAGTTTTCTGGGGCCCCTTCAGCTGTGGCTCTCAACACCTTTACTTTATTTATTTATTTTTATGTGGTACTAAAGATTGAACCCTGTGCCTCACACATGCTAGGCAAGTGCTCTACCACTGAGCTACATCTCCAGCCCTGCTCAAAACTCTTCAAGGACTCCCTATTGCTCATGGAATAATGGCTCTTAATAAGGAATGATTTGATCCCACAGAAGATATTTGGCAATGTCTGGAAATGTTTGTGATTGTCATAACTGGAAGGTGTTACTGGTACATTGTAGGCATAAGCCTGGGATGTTGCTGAACATACTACACTGGTGAGGACAGATTCCTATCTGCTCTGAGGCAAGAATTATCCAGTTGCAAATGTCAGTAAAGCACCAAACAAGTAACTCATTTGAGAATAAAGTACAGGTTCTTTCATCTCACTTTCAAGAGTGGACTAAATCTCAGAGTATGGCCTGGGTCTGCCTTGACTATTGTATCCCCATTCTCTGAACATAGTAGGCACTCTGTACTTTAGATTCATACCAGGCCACACCCCCATCTTGTTCCTCTAATAGTTTAATTCGAATACTACAAGTAGCAGGACATAAGAGTAATACGTATAAATCAAATGCATTACTGTACATCAGTGAATACACTAATACCCAATAGCTTAAAATAATAAAATAAAATTTTGGAAATCAGTATAACAAATGAGGTGAAAGACCTCTACAATGAAAACTAAAGAACACTAAAGAAAGAAATTGAAGAAGACCTTTTAAGATAGAAAGATCTTCCATGCTCTTGGACAGGCAGATTTTGCATTGTCAAAATGGTGATATTACCAAAAGCATTATACAGATTTAATGCAGTTACTACTAAAATCTGAGTGCAATCTTCTTAGAAATAGAAAAGGCCATGATGAAAAATTCATTTGGAAAAATAAGAGACCCAGAATAGCCAAAGCAATCCTTAGCAAGAAAAGTGAAACAGGAGGCATCACAATACCAGACCTTAAATTATACAACAGAGCTATGATATCAAAAATGGCATGGTATTGGCACCAAAACAGACATGTAAACCAAAGGTAAAGAATAAAAAACACAGAAGCAAACCCACATAAACACAGTTATTTCATACTAGACAAAGCACCAAAAACATACATTGGAGGGAGCTGGGGATATAGCTCAGTTGGTAGAGTGCTTGCGTCAAATGCACAAGGCCCTGGGTTGAATCTCCAACACCACAATAACCTCTTCAACAAATGGTAATGGGAAAGCTGAAAATCCATTAGTAGAAAAATGAAATTAAACCCCTATCTCTGACCTGCACAAAACTCAACTCAAAGTGGATGAAGGACTTAGGCACTAGAACAGAGACCCTGCATCTAATGGAAAAAAAAAAGTAGGCCTAAATCTCTACCATGCCAGCTTAGAAACTGAATTCCTTAACAAGACTCCTAAAGCACAAGAAGTAAAATCAAGAATCAATAAATGGGGGGCTGAGGTTGTAGCTCAGTGGTAGAGTGCTTGCCTAGCACATGTGAAGCCCTGGATTCTATCCTCAGCACCACCTCTAATACATAAATAAATAAATACATACATACATACATACATACATACATACATACATAAATGTATTGTGTCCATTTATAACTAAAAAATAAATATTAAAAAAATAAGAAATGGGATGCAATCAAACTAAAAAGTTTCTTAACAGTAAAGAAGATAATTAAGAACATGAAGAGAGTCTACAAAATGGGAGAAAATTTTTTACCACCTGAACCTCAGATACAGCATTAAACTTCAGGCTATATAAAGAACTCAAAAACTTAACATCAAAAAAAAAAAAAAAAACAACAAAGTAAAACAAATAACCCAATCAATAAATGCTCTAAGGAAGTGAACAGATGCTACACAGAAGAAGAAATAGAATTGATCACAAATATATGAAACAATGTTCAACATCTCTAGCAATTAGAGAAATGCAAATTAAAACTACACTGAGATATCATCTTGATCTAATAAGATTGCCAATTATAAGAATACAAGAAATAAATGTTGGTGAGAATGTGAGGGAAAAGGTACATTCATACATTGCTGGTGGGACTGCAAATTGGTACAACCACTCTGGAAAGCAGAATGGAGATTCCTCAGAAAACTTGGAATGGAACAACCATTTGACCCAGTTATCTCAGTCCTTTGATTTATATCCAAAGGACTTAAAAGGACAAGACCCATCAATGTTTACAGCAGCTCAATTCACAATAGATAAACTATGAAACCCACATAGGTGCCCTTCAATGGATGAATGGATAAATAAAAAGTGGTGTACATATACAATGAAATATTACTCAGCCATAAAGAAGAATGAAATTATGGTATTTTTTGATAAACGGATAAAGCTGGAGAATATCACACTAAGTAAAATATACCAATCCCAAAGAATCAAAGGCCAAATGTTCTCCCTGATATACAGATGCTTATTCACAATAAAGGGGAGGGGTAGGAAATAATAGAGATACTTTGAATCAGACAGAGGGGAATGAAGGGAGGAGAGGGGATATGGAGGTTGGAAGGTAGAAAGAATCATACATTATTACTTTATGAGCATATATGATTACAAAACCAGTGTGATTCTACATAATCTACAACCAAAGAATGAGAAGTTATACTGTTTATGTATGATGTGTCAAAAATCATTATACTGTCATGTATAACTAATTAGAAAAAATAAAAATGTAAAGTTAAAAAAAAAACCCTACAAGTAGCTTTAGTTTTGTCTTCAAGATAATTAGTATGAACCAAGTGGCTTCTTGGAAAAAGCAAATGAGTTTGAGAGCTCCAACAGTTCACTCTCCAGCAAGAGCTGGCTTCAGCGAGTCCTTGCAACAGTACCTTTCATGAGATAATATTTGGTTTATAGGTTGTTCTGACTTGGCTTTGGAAAGTCACAAACACATTCAATTTAAATACACACAGCCTCAGTCAGTATGGATCCCCAGAAGTCCTCACTCTATATGCTTGTTAAGAAACCCATTGGCCCTCATTCTAGACAGGGCAATTACAGATATTTCCTGTATCCAAGAAGTCATTGCTAATATTGAATTCTAATAGTATATGAAACTATGATTGGCAGCCAATGAAAGATGCTTTAAACTCCAAACCTTCCTTGGTTGTCCAGCAATTTGTGAATAACCTAACAGGCAGCAGAATTCATTGAACTCTGAAGGCCAAGCCTTTCCCCTTTGGTGGTCAGAACTGAGTGAGTATTGACAGCCCCTAAGGAGCCACTTTGGGAATCAAAGTTGCATACATCCACTCACCCGTGTCCACCATAGAACATTATTTTTCCAGAAGGCTTGTAAATATACCCTGAGAGGAGATGCTGGAACACATTTGCTTTCCTCATCTGGAAGCCAGGTGTCATTTCTCAACCTGACCACAGTAAGGCTGGGGTGGCAAGGGACTGACACAAGCAAGCTTGGGCCCCTCCCTGGTGGCAGAACACAGGCCCCCAGTAGAAGAGAGAGGCCATCTGTCTGTCCAGCATGGCTTCAGTGTAATGTGTCCAGCAGGGACTTTGTATTTTCTCTCTACCAGGAATTTGTAATGTCTGTTGAATGCAACAGAATCTCAAAAGCATGGAGCCTCAGGGAGAGAGAGGGCCTCAAGTGGCAAATAATAGCCAAATGAACACCATGGTTTTTGTGGACAAGTATTCCCTGGGGAAGGACAACTCCCATACCCCAGAGTAACTACATCAGCAGTCTTTCAGCACTCCTGATGGTAAAATGCAGCAGTTCATACAGGGGTGTCCAAGTGATTAATCTGTTATTATAATGAGATTAAGTGTGACTCATAGTCAGGGACAGAGCTCACAGCACCAATGCTCTTTCTGTAGAAAGTGATCTGAGCTGCAGGATGGAGCATGGTCTCATGAAATTCGCCCATCATGCTATTAACAGTACATTTCCCAGAATCAGAGGATATTATACCCAATAGGAATTTGAGGCCACATAAACCAAAGTTCCATGAAATGTGCTTCACAGACAACACACCCCAAACCCGAGGGCCCAGTTGACCTTCCCAAGGTCACACTGGGTATTAAAAGCAGAGACTCAATATCTTACTCCAACCTGTTACCCTCAGTAATATACCACATCCAAACACTGTCAGAACAACATAGCCTGGCACACTCAGTGTGGTGCCTGAGCAACAAGCACTGGATCTGAGTAGCTAAAGACCTGGCTGTAATCTGGACTTATGTACTAACCAGCTGCATGATATTGGGCCAATACACCTCACCACATTCTCAGACATTCATGACCAACCATTGGCCTCAGTGAGACCAAATAAGATAACACACATTAGGATACATGGCACATAATAATCACTCCATAGACGTTGGTTAAACCTGGGATTACATGCACATTTAGTGCCAATTAAATTGAAATCATGGATGTAAAATAACATGTCTCCTTTATTTTTCAAACTGTCCTATTCTGATTTGTACCAATTTTATCTTAAGAAGATGCAGCAAAGATGATGACTTTCTTACTGCAAATGACTTAGTGTGTCCTTTCAAGGTACATGGTATCCTACAAAGGGAGTTCAGTGGCCATTTGGCAAAGGAAATTTGCCAGCCTTCCCCTCACTCTCTGTTCTGTCTCCCTGTGTCAGGCATGTCCCAGCTCAGCAAAAGTAAACACCCACAGCCCCTAGGGCCATCTTGTTTCACCTGATGTCTCTGAATCCACAGAAGTGACTGTAGGCAGGTGGGATGGCAGGTCTGACACCAATGTACATGTCACAGGAAGACTCCTACCCTGAGGTCAAGGCTCATCACAGCCTTGTGGTACCCCTGAGACATTCTGGTGACTGAGTAACACATGCCTTTGGGGAAGATAACTAAACATATGCCTGCTTCCTATGCAGCATTGGAAGGAAAAGAGAAAGATGAGGGGGACTGTTATGGTTTATATACGAGGTATTCCACAAACGTTTACCTGTGATTTAAAGCAAGAATATCCAGAGGTAAAATAATTCAATTATGAGAACTGTAATATGATCAGTGGATTAATCCACTTGAATGGGTTAACTGGGTGGTAACTACAGGCAGGTAGGTTGTGGTTGGTGGGGGTGGGTCACTGATACCATGCCTTTGGGGTTTATATTTTGTCCTCAGTGAGCAGAGCTCTCTCTGCTTCTTGGTTGCCATGTCCTGAACTGCTTTCCTCAGTCATGCTCTCTTCTGCCTTGATGTTCTCCCTCACCTCAGGCCCAGAGCCATGGAGTCAGCTGAGGTTGGACTGAACCTCTGAAACCATGGGCCAAAGTAAACTTTTCCTAAATTGTTCTCACCAGGTCAAAGAGGCCCTTTCAGTAACACCAGAAAAGAAAACAAACTTGCAGGAAGAGACAGTATTTCACCAGCATGGCTGGTGTGGATACAAGGAGAGGCAAAAGGAAGAGGGAGGTCCTCAGCAGCCCTGTGATGGGTACTGCTGTCTCTACAGCTAAGCTACCTCCCCCTGCTCTGTGCAGCTTGACCAGCCCTCTCCTCCTTGTGCCCTGGAGACCTGTTCTAAAATGCTGGGATTCCTGTGAACAGCTCACCTTTTATACCTACTCCTGCTTCTGTGTAAATGGAAGGCAGAAATTGTCTGGAGATTCCTGTGTCAAGATGAAGCAGTGGAGACAACATAATGGGGAAACAATGATGGTCTCTGTGTTCTTGGCACTTTATTTCCCTGACCAGTTAGTTAGTCCCATCAAGTGTGGGCACAAACCTCGAATGGTCAGCAGAGGCATGAATTCTTCCCATTGAGGTACCCCACAGCTCCCTGTCCTCACCCTATGACTTTTGGAATACTATCATCAATATGTGTGTCCTAGGCTTTCGGGGAGTAAATTTAGGCTAAATGTGAATCTCTCTGGAGAAGAGATTGTCATAATTTATCTCAAATTGTATATGATTGCATATAATTTGTTCTCCTTAAAATTACAAATAATGGAAAGCCTTTTGGTTACACTATTCAACGTAGGGCCTTCAGAAGGAAAATGCAGACAAGACAGATAAATACAGCCCTACTGTATTGAATGACATGTTTCTTTTGGTAGGTCACAGAAGGTACATTTTATGGTGTTGGTGGAGAAGGGGCAATGAGTCATTCATGGATAAAATCTGGGGGTAACCTTGAGAATTTCATTCACCTCTCTGTATATTTAATGTATATTCTAATAGTTAAAGAATCCAACCTCAGTCCTTACCTTGATAATCAAATGCTTGAATCTGTCCCTTGTCCTTTCTCGCATACAAAGTCATCATGCTCAGAGCTGTGTGAAACTACCAATTTTCACCTTCTACACTTTTACTTGAAAGTCAGGCTTTTGCCATAATTATAAAATTTAATCCTAGGCCTAATGTTTCCATGGGTGGAGAGATTAAATAATGAATAAAATTCTGTGCTTTTTTTGAACTTTCATTAACATCACTTATTGTACACACCACCATAGCTCCTGAATGTTTGTGTCAATAAATTATCTGACACAGAATTGTTTCAAATGCAATTAAGATGGCACTACTAATGGACTTTAACTCCCAACTTTAAAATAATTAAACTATTCTAGATTTACCCATGTTTTCACCAACTTTGTATGTGTACTACTTCATGTGTCCTGTGTCTCTCTGTATAGTTCTTCTTTTTCCTTTTTCTTTCTCTATAATGGTAAAGAGGGAATGAATCTTTTCCTCAATATACATTTCTATAATCTGATGCATTTGGATGCATTTGCCCATCTTTCTTTGGGATTGGATGTGAAACCTGCCTGGGGTTAGAGGAACCAGGTCAAGACACACACACCCCATGCAGTTCCTTGAGCATTCCTCTTCATAAAGGTTTGGCTTCTCTCAGAAGCCCTACTGTATTGAATGACATGTTTCTTTTGGTAGGTCACAGCAGGTACTTTTTATGGTGTTGGTGAAGAAAGGGCAATGAGTCATTCATGGATAAAATCTGGGGGTAACCTTGAGTATTTAATTCACCTCTCTGTGTATTTAATGTATATTCTAATAGTGAAAGAATCCAACCTCTGTCCTTACCTTGATATATCAGTTGTTGTTGTTGTTCTCCTCTGCTCCCTCTTTGGCTCTGTTGGATTTTATTCATTCTATTGAATTTTCTCTTGGGTTTTCTGGTTTCCCTTTTGTCCTCTAACAATTCAGACAGCAACTAACCCAAAACAGAGATGCAAAACATAGTTATTGACTATGCTGAATATATTTAAATTAGCAACTAACCAAAGCTATTGAAATAACAATAATCAGGTGAAGAATCCACCCCCAAATTTTTGCTATATTGAAAATAATTGATCCCTGAACAATTATTTGCAATCATAGTCACTATTTTAAAAATCAACTCAAGCCATGGAATCAGCCACTTGTAGCTCTGTCATGAAAATAATGTGGGATATTGTGAGATAATGCTTTATGAACTTCAGTATTATAAAAGCATACTTGTACTTTATCCTCATAGGATACCAACTTGATTTAACTGAGTCATCAGGAAAAGCTGTACATACCACATTTTGAATGTGTTTATACTTATTGAAATCTTTGCTATTAGCCATCATTAATGATAAAAAGTTGAGAAAAATATTTACCTTTCTTTTCTTAAAAAACTATCAAAGAGCAGGTGTTTTTAGTTGAGAATGTGGTTTTGCAGTCTGAGCATATTGAAGTACTTATGGGAGTACTACTGTTATAATAAAATAAAAGCAAATCAATGGTACCAACATGGCTAAACATGCTTTTTAAGAAACGATGATAAATTTGTCACAATACAGTGTAATCATTGGACTTCTAAAATATGGAAATCCACTTGTAAACTACAGACTTCTAAATGCTGTGCTTCATTGAGTTCTTCAGATAATTCTTGTGTATAGTTCCTGTTTGTTATTTATTCCTCTCCCTTTGTGTTTACCAAAGTCTTTATAAGACAGTAAACTATTTTGATAAGTAACTAAATGATGTATTAAAATTTTTGTATTACATAGCATCAAGCATCATGTCATGCAGAAGTAATTGCTCAAATTCAGTTTTTGAATCAGTGATGGTATTTGTTTTTTTTTTTCCTAAATGCAGTCACTTTTTAAAAGTTATTTTATTTATTTATCTATTTATTTATTTTGATACCAGGGATTGAATCCAGGGACACTTAACCATGGAGCCACATCCCTAGCCCTTTTAAAATGTTTTTTAATTATTATTTTTTAATTTTGAGACAGGGTCTGGCTAAGTTGTGTAGGTCCTTACTAAGTTGCTGAGGCTGGCTTTGAATTTGGGGTCATTCTGCCTCAGCCTCCAGAGCCATTTGGATTACAGACATATGCTGTGATATCAGGCAAAATTACTGTTTTTGTTTTCTTTGATCACTTAAATAACTTTAAATTTATTTCATATTCTCCTTGTGATGATTTTATTACTATTACTCGTGGGACTACAAAATATTTTGTTACATCTTCTAATTAGACCTCTGGGTGTTCTTTCCTCTTATGATTGTGTTCTTGTTGAAAGTTGCTTTCCTCCTGTGCAGGCTGGCTTCATTTTGCCTTCTATTGCAGAGCTTCTGAGCAGAGTGCCCTAATATGCCACTCTGCTCATAAGTGATAGCTCTGCTACTGGACCAGTTTCCATGTCAATTTTTTGGTTTAGGATTACAGATGATACATGGTAGAATCAGGGGACAGAACTAAGTCATCATGCTCAGAGCTGTGTGAAACTACCAATTTTCATCTTCTACACTTTTACTTGAAAGCCAGGCGTTTACCTGGTGACACGTGACATGGATATTGGAGTTGACGCCCAGAATATTACAAGAGGACACAGGTGTGCACACCAGGGCTCCACAGGGCTGCCAGGCTGCCAGGTCAGAGGTGACAAGCAAGCCTACCAACAACAGGAAGGGGGCTGCAATCAGTGGGAAGTTTGCCTCTGGAGAGGCCAGGCACCATCTCATCCTGCTGTTCTCAATGCCTGATGCATTCTTTTTAAGATTATGTTATTATTTCTTCTATTTTCAGATAAACAAAAATGTAGAATTAAAGAAAACGTGCAAAGAATCTGTCAGCTTCCAATAATACATCTATGAGACTTGGTAAAAAAATTGAGCTATAATCTGCTTCTCTAAGGATAGTTTGTTTTAATTGTTAATTATGTTAGTAAACCATGAGGTGAGGAATAATACTTGCTTTTCAATCTTACTCTGAGTGGCATTTTTTAAACACTTTCTTTATATATTAGCTATTCAAGTAAAACCTGTTAAGTAGTAAAAAATAACTGGAAAAAAATAAAACAAAACCAAAGTAGGGGCTTGGATTGTGGCTCAGTGACTGAGCACTTTCCTAGCATACATAAGGCACTGGATTCCATCCTCAGCACCACATAAAACTAAATAAATAAAATAAAGGTATTGTGTCCATTTACAACTAAAAAAAATAAAGAAACAAAAACAAATTAGACAACTATAGATCTTTCACTCAAAAAGAAATTAACATTTTTATTGCTTAAGTTTAGAGTTCTTTTATCTAATTAATCCTTATACATCTTGTATTAATAGTGCAAATTAAATGAATTTATTTTTAATTTACAACATTGTGAATAGTTTTGTGTTTAACCAAATATTAATTTTACAGTTATTTAATATTCTTTGTGTGCATGTGCTTATATTTAAGCTTTTTCTGTTATGCACATTTAAAGTTGTTTCCAGGTTTACATTTTCCTTGCACATCAGTGGATTCTGACTTCACTGTGAACACTGCTGATAGATCATAGAATGTAAAAGCAGACTCAAGTTCCTGTTCAATGTCCTTAAGTTATTTTCCAGTAATCACACAGAATTTACATGTCTCCACTAAATGTGAGATGTGTCTTATCATTGAGGCTTCACCAGAATCAAGTGTTACTGAGAAGTGAAAAATAGCATATATTGTGATAAAATGTATTTTTTAGATTACCAAAGAAATTAACCTTTACAATCCTGAGTTTAACAAGTTGTACTTGTCAGGAAGGGCTATAGACATCTGTTGCCAATCAATGCTTCTAGAACTTGGCCTGTGTTACTACATTTCCTGATGTAGTCAGCCAGTATAGCAGACCAGTCACTCCTGCTTCGTGTGTATTCGTGTGTGTGTGTGTGTGTGTGAGAGAGAGAGAGAGAGAGAGAGAGAGAGAGAGAGAGAGAGAGAGAGAGAGAGAATGAAGAAGATAAACCCCTGCATGTCAGGGATGTGCCATTTCCCACAGAATATAAAGACCAAATCTGGTATGATTTGAATGTTGTCACCGAAACTGAAGTTCAGTCCTGATTGTGAGGTTTTAAGAAGTGACAAGGTGGGACTTGAAAAAATGATTAGATCATCAAGACTGCCATCACAGTGAGTTAAACCATTCATGGATTCATCAATTAGTGGGTTTGTTTTAAAAGCCTGTAGGGCCTGTCTCCTGATTAAGCCCCTCTTACCATGTGATACCTTATACCACATTGAGACTGCAGAGTCCCCACCAGCAAGAAGCACCTCACCAGATGATGCTCCTCAACCTTGGGATTCTCAGTCTCCATAACAGTGAGCTGAATCACTGTTATTCTTTACAAATTACCCTGACTCCAGCATTCAGTCACAACAACAGAAAAGGGGCTAAGAACCTGAATTGTCCATTTCATTCCAATTCTCATGAACTTGCTAGCGGCAGCATTTCTTTCTGGATGTCATGTCTCTGCTGTTTTGTAATCTCCTCCATCATCCAGAGTGAGTTTCCTCTGGGAAAACTGGAGATCCATACATAGCAAAATGAAATTAAACCTCTATCTCTCATCTTGCACAAAAAAACAACTGAAAATGGATTAAAGACTTAGGTACTAGAACAGAGACCTTGCACCTAATAGAAGAAAAAGTAGGACCAAATTTCCACCATATTGGCTTAGGAATTGACTTCCTTAAACAGACTCCTAAAGCAAAAAAAGTAAAATCAAGAATCAATAAATGGGAAGGACTGAAACTAATAAACCTTTTCTCAGCAAAGGAAACAATAAGTAATGTGAAGAGAGAGCCTACAGAATGGGAGAAAATCTTTACCACATGCACCTCAGAGCCCTAATCTCCAGGATATATTAAGAACTCAAAAAAACATAACACCAAAATAAATAAATAAATAACCCAATCAATAAATGGGTTAAGGAATGGAACAGACACTTCACAGAAGAAGAAATACAATCAATCAATAAACATGAAAAAATATTCATCGTTTCTAGTGATTTGAAAAATGCAGATCAAAACTACTCTCAGATTTCATCTCATTCCAGTCACAATGACAATTATCAAGAATACAAGCAACAATAAGTGTAGGCAAAGATGTGATGGAAAAGTTATACTCATACATTGCTGGTGGGACTGCAAATTGGAGCAACCACTATGGAAAGCAGTATGTAGATTCCTCAGAAAATTTGGAATGGAACCACCATTTGACCCAGCTATCCCATCATAAACAATGATATATATATATATATTTTTTTCCCCAATGGAATATTACTCAGCTTTAAAGAAGAATGAAATTGTGACAGTTGCCAGTAAATGGATGGAGTTGGAGAATATCATCCTAAGTGAAATAAGCCAATCCCAAAAAACCAAAATTTGAATATTTTCTCTACTATGTGGATGCTAATTCACAATATCGGGGCAGGGCACTACAGAAGAATAGAATTATCTTAGATTAATGAGAGGGAAGTGAAGGGAGGGGCAGGGAAGGGTGTGGAGATAGGATAACAAAACAGATATTATTACTTTATGTATATATGAGACTGCATGACCAATATGATTCTATAACATGTACACTCAGAAAAATGAGATATTATATCCCATTTATATATGATATATCAAAGTGCATAAATGCATTGTACTGTCATGTATAACTAATGAAAACAAATTAAATACTTTTAAAAAAAGAATAAAATTATAGCATTTTCAGGGAAATGCATGGAGCTGGAGAATATCATGCTAAGTAAAATAAGCCAAACCCCCCAAAACAAAGGCCAAATGTTTTCTCTGATAAGCAGTTGCTAATCCATAATGGGGGTGGGGGGAAGAGAACGAAGGGACTTTGGATTGTGAAAAGGGGAGTGCGGGAAGGGGAGGGTGTGTGGGGATGGGAAGGACAGTGGAATGAGATGGATGTTGG